CGTGGCTGACTGGTGGAAGCATTCACTATCTGTGCTAAGGATCTTTCAATACACAACTTTGTTCAGGTGACTGCATAGCATAGCTATAAAAACACCCAATAAGACACAAAAACAATTTTTGGTTGAGAAGTTTCTGCTGAGATTTAGCCTGCAGCATATCTTTAGAAGCAGCTAGAAACTGAACATTTCCATCACAAACAGAAAGCAAAGGAGGCAGCAGTTTGAGGGCTATGCAATTATAGGGAAATGTCTTCCCCTCTTTGAATAGCCAAAAATGATTTTGCAGCAGTGTCCAGAATTTGCTTCCTATGACGTTTGGTGAATTGAAAATAAAACCAAACCAAACCAAAAGACTGAGGTACAGATGTTATAAAACTGCCTACAAGCAAAACCTATTTCCTTTCCCCTCTCCCTTGGATAATTGTTCCAATTTTTCCTCCAGCTGAATTCAGATTATGTTTCTGCATAACAAATGAGAGCAGCTTCATGGTATTGACTAAATAATAGATGCTTGATCATATACTTCCTAGAAGAGATGAGAAAAATGTCCAGAAACAATACTGAAAGTGTTAAGAAAAAAAATAACTGGCAGAAGAGTCTCACACTCAAATTTGTGCCTGTCAATTGTTGTCATGATCTAAAACACCTGCAGCGAACTCATGTTTTCCTAACAGCGAAGTTTGCCTTGCAAACTGGCAATTCCAATTTTACAATGGTGGTTTTAGAAGATTTGTCCAAGGTTCTTACAAGAAATTTCAGTTACCAGCAAAATTCTGCAGCAGTGGGACCCCAGCTGCTGCAGAGGGCTTATACATGGGCTGTTAATGTATGCCATTTAACTTCTTTTCCCCAGGTATCTTCCCCATAACTACAAAACAAAGCTGCTTTCCTGACACACAGATGTTTTTATGGACTCTTTAGAGACACATGCTGATTGAACCACATGCTAGAGGGCTCCCTCACTGGGTGAATGTCCATGGAATTTATAGGTAATAATCTACCAGGTCTGGTTTTAATGCTTTATTTACAGGTTTTCTACAGATATTACAAGACGCATGAAAACTGCAAACTAGAACTACAAATAGGCTCTGAGCACTCTGATCTAGCTATAGATGTCTCTGTTCATTGCAAGTTGGCCCTTCCAATTCCCTTCCAACTCAAATGATTCTATCATTCTATGATTCTATGAAATAGTTATATTGAAGTTTAGAAGCCATTTCTATTCAATCTTCTCAGTTTGCACAGAAAACTGCATTTTATCATATGAATCAACCTATCATTTGTTACAACCAAGCCTGGTGATCCTCACAGAGGAGGAGTACTGGGACTCTGGGGCTCTGCACTCCCTCACATGCTGTGGAAAGATGCAGAAAGCAACCTGGCCAAGTGTGAGGATGTAGACCTGCCATTATCTCCAAGGAAGGAAACAAAACTTTCCTGCTGAATAGCTTGGGAAAAATCAGGAAAAATCAAGAAAGGACAAATGGAATTTCTGAGGAACGGAGAGTGCAAAAGCAAGGGTAAAAGAAAACATGTCAGGAATGAGTCTAGAAGGTGAGTAAAATCAATGTGCCTGTGTGCTTCTAAATAAAAAGAAAGACTGGGGATAAAAAAGATTTTAAGTGTCTGAAGTGTGCAGTTCTCAGGGTGTGGCTCCCACTGAGAAAATGGGATTTTTTTTAATTAAGTGTTACCATAAACTAAGCGTTAGCACAGACCATACTTTCATATTGGGCACAAACTCAGTCATCCAGATTTTATAAAACACTTAATAATATCTCAGCTTCGCTTAAAGCAGTAAAGACAAGTCTGGCTTGATTTATTCATTCAACTTTTCCTGCTGATAGGTCCAAAACCACTCACAGGAACCCAAGCCTGGAAGTGGACTCCTCCAGTCTCTCAAGATTAGATCCCACATCAGGACAAATCTTGTCACAAATTGATGAAGTCCATCTAAAAATAGTTAAGATTTACGTCCCCATTGCTGTGACGAAAGGCAGCTCCTGAGCCCCCTCCCTTGCTGCTGGAAATCATCCAGTTTCCAAAGAGTGCACATTGTTGACCAGTTCCTGCCTGCTAGTTTGAGAGAGAAGTGAAAATGGCTCTCTTTCTGAAGGGAACAAGCTTTAGTTTTAGGACAGGGAGTGACAGGATTTAGTTTTTGCTACAGATGAAGTTACAATCGTCTGATGAGAAGGATGTGTGGTAAATAATGAATCTGCCATAAGTCTGTTGCTGGGAAGCCTTTAACAGCACACTCTGATGAGAAACAGTGGCACTGTAACAACATTTGGTTTGGCTGCTGAGGATGCATTTCTGCAAAAGACACATGGTCTGTTTGTTGTTCATTTTAAGAAACATCAGCTCCTGGTCCATATCAAAAGCCAAAAATGACATTCATTTTTCCTTTCTTGTGACAGCGTTGGGGCTTTTTTGTTTGTTTCCTGAGACGATACATGCTTTTTTAAAAAGTTAGTGTTTGTTTCCAGTTTCAACAAGCACATGTTAATTAGAACAATTGTTTTTGATGTACCCCTTAATAAAAATTGAGTAACTTTAACCTCCTTCTCTTCTTTGTTTTTCAAAGTTCACATTATTTGGCATAAAACTCCCCAGGCTTCTCTTGCTGGGTTTTAATCTCTGAAAACATAAACCAGCACTAAAATAATTTTAAATTAGGTAATGTTAATCTAGCAGATTTTACAGTGCACTACCTATATTTTTAAATGCCTGAAAATGGCATTAACTATATTTTACATCATTATCTGTAATATATTGTATCAAAAAAGAAGAAAACTGTGAGACCTCCCCTATAAAACTAACTGCCTGCTCAGTTTCAACCGGTTAATGAGTTCAAATGGCAACACTAATATAATCATTGGAAACTTAGGCTTTTCTAAATATTTTCTGATTTTATATTTTTAATACTAACGTTACAACAGCATATTGTTTGTTTCATTCTCTATTTTTGTTTGGTGATTTTTGGTATAGAAGAAGCACAAAGAAGAAGAGCACACTGAATTTTAAATTCTAGGTAAGCCTCAGCATCTCGAGTGTTTGAGATATACGCATCATATCTGAAGTTTTCACATAGTTCTGGAAAAAACAGATAGCCTCAGAGTTTACTTCTACATCCCCACTTGCCTGATTTCCAGTGATGCTTAGGTCCAGGGTTTTGACTGAAGCTCATTTCTTAATATTCAGCTAATTTAAATGCTAATTAGACTAATTTGAAGAATAAGACGTGGTAGGAATTTATTAACATCTTTGCTGCTATTTCTTTACATCTACAGAGAAATTTTCTAAAACAGGACTCAAGGGGCAGTAGCACATCTGTTACAAGTTGAACAAGTTGGATTTTTTTGTAATAGCAAATCTTACAGCTGGAAATACAGTGCAGAGGAGGAGGAACAATTTAAATTTTCTGTATCTAGCACATCTTGGATATATGCCATTAATGTAGAGGAGGCTTTATGCTGTCCTGGGCTCATCTGCTTCATACTTTTTGCTCTGAGTTTTATACTTATATTGGAAGAAAATGTGTCTCATCTCTGTCTCATTATCTGCAACAGTCATCCCATCTGATGCCACATTTATTCTGTATGATGTTATTGCTGTGTATTATAAAGAGCTCAAATCTACTACCTCAAGTCTAATCTTGTGATAACTTTCATGGTTTTGTAGAGCCCCACTCTACAGAGTGGCTTTACAGGGGTGACAGGCCAACCATCTGGTAGAAAAATGGTTGCAGTGATCTCTTTGGAATATCAGTCTTGTGTTTTTTTAGTTTGTTTATTGTTGTTGTTTGTTTTTATTGCTCCAACATCTGCCATTGCCACTGTCTGTAAGTATGCATCTTTTAAGACACGACTTTGAATCTACTCACAAGCAACAATTGCTCTTGGGCCTAGTTAGGTAACTGAATTTTGACCTGAGAAAGAAGTCCTACAGAGATCTGGCAGGTGGCTGTGTTAAGGCAATGTATGTCAGAATTAACTTTCTGCCCATCATACTTCTGTCTCAAAGCTCTGGGTTGAGACTACCTTCCTCACCCAAATTCCTGAGGACTATTCTCCAGGTAATGCTGACAAAGAACCTGGCTTCCTTTTGCATGTATAGACAGCCATACTCAACACTACTATTATTATTATATGCAGCTAGGCATATGCTGCATACTCTTCTCTGAATAAATAAGGTTGCTGCAGTAATCATAATGCAGGCAGGAATGAAATGTTCCTGTGTCGAAGCCTGTCAACAGACAGTATTGTAATGCAAACAAAACCCCAATATAGTTTAAGAAGCTGAGAAGGTCTCATAGAGTTGGAAAATGTAAAAAGAGAACTGCTAAAACAGAGTCTGTTTTGGACTCTCTTTTCTTCCTATGCAAGCTCGCATTGTTAAATTAGTCTGTGATAATTTTAATTTGCATATAGAGCAGCAGTCCCCACAGGGCCATCTCAAGTATCCTCTAGATTTGGAGGTAATTTGAATCCAGGTCCTTCCTTACTGTGCTATCCTCAGGCAACTCAAAGACTTGTAGGCATCTTTATTCTTTGGAAGAAAAATATATTTCTTACATGACTTTTGAAGGCCACGTCTGTATTTAGATACTTAATTCTGATTTTAAAAGTAATCAGTGGCAGACAGAATGCATTGTGGGTCTGGGCCTTACTATTTCTTTGCCTTAGTTTTCCATCAGTACATATTATTCTGCCTTGCAAAGGAGCCAAGCAGATAAGCATTCTACAGATATTGAGTGGTGTACCCAAGTTTAGCAGTGTTGATGGTCAAGCAAACATAAAATCGTAATTTAAAGGGAACAAGAATGAATGTAAAGAGGATTAGCTATAATGGGAATACCATTTAACAGTGAAAAAGTTCTGTTTATCATGATCTTAATTTAGTTTTGCACTTGTTATGATTTTGTTTAAAACTTTTCTGAAAGCTCAAAGTGAATGTAATTCAGTTTACAAGTTTTTCAAATGCAGGTCAGTACTCACTTCTACATGTTGACAGGTCTGAATGAGTTTTGCCAGAAGAGTTTCCAGTTCAGTATTCCTCTTAATAAGGTTGGTGAGGTTACTCTCCAAATTTTGCTGTACATAAGAAAGAAAAAACAAATTAGTATTCTGAAGAATTTAATGCTAAGGGAAACAGTTGAAAAGGGGTATATTTTCATAATCTGAATTATGCAATTACAAAGGTATAAACGTGACATTCATTTTGGCAGAAAAAGGCAAAAAAGCAGAAAGTTCAAGGTAAGTGTCAGTTCATAAAAAAATAGTTTCTGAGGACCTACTGAAAACGAGGTTAAGATTTAGTCAGGGACAGAAGCAGAGGATTAAGGAGAAAAGCAGGAAGGTGAAAATTCTTTGCCAATTAAAAAAATGAAACTTTGTCTGAGACCATTTATTTTGTTCCCTGCTCTCAGTCTAACAGCTGAATTTAAAAACCTGCTGCTAAATGAGGCCTTCTAGCACGTCCTCCTTTGGGACTGAACTTGTAAGGGCCCAGCAGTGTGTCAGCACTTGCTCCTTGGAATTCACAGTGCTGAGGGAGAGGGTTAATCTAAATGATTTAATTCTCTACTTCCCTGGAGTCTGATTTTTGAATAAATAAATCTAAAGAAAGCCACCATAGCCAGGTACAAGAAGGAAGTATCTACGCACTGATTGTGCCTTCACTAATTATTCTTTAGAGACGATATGTGGCTTGTGCCTGTGTTTATCTGCTGATTACAGCCACAAATAAGCATCTCACAATTTGTGAGCTTGGAGCTTTCTACCTCTCAGGCTACATCCTGGCTGCTGTGCAACTGCATGTCAGATTGAGATCCTGAAACAAATGGTGTAGCCTCCTCCCTCCCTGCTGTACCACAGGAAGGAAATCCAAGCTCGAGTGGTCATGGTGGCTGTGATCTACTTCCTGATCTGGCTGCTCTGGGACCAGGACCATGCAGTGTCCTGTGGGACCAGCAACTACTGGCTCTTTGCTTTTCAATGTACATCCTGTGGTAGCTGTTTGTTTACATATAAGTCCATCTTCTGGAAGCTTAAAATGCAAAGTTTCCAGATAGACAGAAAATCCTGTAAATATAACTTCAGTTAACAGACTGGGAAAAAAAGATAATGAAAAAAAACCAGTCCTGGCTGTAAATACTCATATGTTCTAGTAACTTCATATGCATGCATTTCGTATTGAAAACACTGAGGATAGCTGATGCGTGAAGCTTTTCCTCATAGCTGTTTTTCTATTTTTCCTATTTAAATGTGAATCCTTTACAACCATACAGTCCCTTACAACCTTTGCCTTCTAATTGTACGATGTCCTCCAAGAAGTCCCCACTAAAGCAATCTAGACAGTGCTAAACAAGAGTATCAGAACCGAGCCCTTCCCATAAGGGCCACAGTGTCTCTGCAGAGCTCTAATTAATTTCACCCCTGCTCATCTTTTTATTAATGGGCTTCCCTTCTCCACACTACTACTTTTCTCCCCAGTATATCTTTTTGGTCACTGAAGGCCCTTCAGCTGCCACTACCATATTCTCATCCTTCCATCTTGATGACACCAAGCTGAGTGGTGCAGTTGACATGCTAGAGGGAAGGGATGCTATACACAGGGACCTGGACAGGCTTGAGAGGAGGGCCCACGCCAACCTCATGGAGTTCAACAAGTCCAAGTGCAAAGTCCTGCTCCTGGGTTGGGGCAATCCTATACATTCTATGCAGAGAATGACTTGAGAGCAGCCCTGAGAAGGATTTTTGGGTGTCAGCTGATGAAAGACTCAAGATCATCTGGCAAGGTGTGCTTGCAGCCCAGAAGGCCAACTGTATCCTAGGTTGCATCAAGAGAAGTGTAACCAGCAGGTCAAGGGAGGTGATTCTGCCCCTCTACTCTGCTCTTGTGAGACCCTGAGGCGGGGGGGACTTTATAAGGGCATGCAATGATAGGACAAGAGGAAATTGCGTTAAATAGGAAGAGGGTAGGTTAAATAGGAAGATTTAGGCTAGATATTAGGAAGAAATTCTGTACTGTCAGGGTGGTGAGAACTGAAACAGGTTGCCCAGAGAAGTTGTGGATGCCTCCTCCCTGGAAGCATTCAAGGCCAGATGGGCCTGTGAGCAACGTAGTCTAGTGTGAGGTGTCCCTGCCTATAGCAGGGGTTGGAACTAGGTGATCCTATAGGGTGCTTCAAACTCAAACCATTCTTTGATTCTATTCTATGATCCTCCTATATCCCCAATGTCTCTGTGCACATATTTCAAATGAGTGTGCTTGTTTTCTGGCACTGTTCCCGACTATTTCACACTGTTTCAAAACACTCCTTTCTTTGCTCTCCCTCTATGCAGCCACACAGTCTTTTGACTCCTTGTATTTAGCTACAACTGAATGAAGCTGGCAGTATTTCACTGCTGAACCATACACACTTTGGCATTTACCAGGGCTGATGCTGTAAACACTGGAGGAGCACTGTCCCATTAAAGAGAGTACAGGATTTAGATGCCTTTATGTATGTAAGTCATCAGAACCATGATTAGTGTTTTTAACTTTGGCATTTTCTTCCCAGCACAACCTTGTCTATCACGTATCACAAGTTCTGGCTGTAAAAAATGCTTTCTACACTGCATTTATTTTATAGCTCATTAAAAACAAAGTGTAACAAGAACAGCAATTCTTTACAGAACAGTTTGAATTGTATCTTACATATTTCCATAAGCTGTAACGTGAATGATCATTTAATTGCAAAGTCATGTTTGCCATGCTGTTAGATGGCCGTCTACAGAGCTGAGACTCATATGCAAAGTCTAAAAACCATATACAATTACAGCATCAGATAACCTTTGTCTTTAGAACAGTTTGTTAAAGGGATCCAAAGGTGCAAGTACTCTTGAAATCATAATTATGTGTTCTCTTATTGCCTATATACTTATTGAGTACCTGATACAAAAGAATTAAGGTGAAAACTGTATATTCCTGGCAGCATTTAATTTCAAATGTATTGCTGGACATAATAAATACTAAATGTTGGGGCAAATACATACTACAATAAAAAACTGTTCTCAAAACTGTTAGGGAATACTGTCGTGATTTATAAAAGCTTGAAAGTTTCTTATACAAAGGCCATTAGTACATGAAAAGTAAGCATTTTTCACTGAAACAGAAATTTATTTACCTACAGATTTTATTTTAAGTCTGTTACATAAACATTCCAGATTTTGTGGAACAAAAAACAAGCCAGGCTGAATGCTTCCTGACTTATTAATGCAGAGCTAGCTCAAGATCTTGAAATTCCATGTGTGGTTTGCAGCTGTTTTTTACAATACCCAGCACAAAGTGAAGAAAATGCTTACTGTCCATTTAGCATGGTGTGACAATTGTACAACAACATCCTATAATCTGGGGATAAATCCAAGTAGACAGATTCACAGATGTAACTGAAAAGGACATTTGAGGATGATGTTTCATTTTGATGCTGCATGCCTACAAAATGATATGATCCAGGGAATGGAATCTGAAGTTAGAAAAATTCATGCAAAAAAATAAAGAAAGGCAACTCATGACTGGATGTCTTCCTTAAGCTGCTGTCTAGCCCACACTGAAGTATTGGTCTTTTTGCAGTAATGATTGCGTGAGGTTCATGCCCTGATTGAAGTGAGAGGTCAGACTAGATGATCATAATGGTCTCTTCTGGCCTTTAAATCTATCAGTCTATGAAAACCAAATGTGAACCCATGCCCTTTGCCAAATTAACAGTCTCACGCAAAGCACTGCTTGTCTAAAATAGGAAGGTAGCACAAACAGCTAGTCCTAAGCTACTACATGGGTTGAAAATACTGTCAAAATAAATTAATGTAAGTCTCTAAAGAATAAAAATGCTGAGTTGTGTACTCCTGCCTTATGTGACAGCAGAGAGAGCAACAACATCCCCGAGAACTTCTCAGTGACATTTTTCTGCTCCACAGAAAATGTCTGTTCAAAGGGTCACAACAGAAAGCTAAAGCTATCAGCTACAATGAGATTTTCCTGCTATCACTAAGTATAAGTACTCATTAACATTCTCCACTTAAGAGATTTCTTTACCTTTATGAATTTCTTTTGCTCATGGAGTGCTTTTAGAATTGTTCCTCTGAGACTGCAGCACATGCTATGACTCAAGTACTGGAACAGTCCTTTGCAACAACAGTGCTGTTCATTATTTACATCAAAAATGTCATGATCAAAGCCTTTTGGTAAAAAACTTTGGTGACAGTTTGCAGCTTCTGACTTGAGTAAGGTATGTTGGATGAGGACCTGAGCAGCCTGATCTAGTGGGTGGCAGCTGGAACTGGATGGTCTTTAAGATTCCTTCCAATCTAAGCCATTCTGTGATTTTGTAGTTTTTTGATTGTTTTGAGGTTAACTCCTAGTTTAAAGAAAAAAACAACTTCAGATGTCTTCTAAACTTACCAGAGCTCCCTATAGTGGCAACTAGGTATAGGTTTTGCAAGAACCACAGCCACCTTCCTACCATTCCTTTACAAATGACCAAACTGAAACAGAGATCACATATTTTCATACTTGGTTGGTGTGACCAAAAGCCACACAGTTACACAGCAGTAAAAGAGAGAGATTAGAATAAAGCACCACAAAACAGAAGTGGAATCAAATCCCATTTTAGTCAAATTAGCAGGGGAACCAGAGCAGTGTTGACATGGCAGATCAGTCTTTAGGATACGCAGACTCTCTATAGATTGTAAATACATACCCCATTACTAACAAAGTCCATGTAACCACATTTTCACTGTAACTGTTTTTCTCCTAACTTAATAAAGTTATCCTTGCATGTGCTCCAGTTACGTTTCCACCTTGCTGTGGTGACATACCCTATGAACCAGCCCTGCTGCCTCCAGGACTTGCGTCTAATCTATTAAAAAAGTTGCCAATCAATTCCAGAAGAACTGCCAGAATATTAAGAATGACTCTGAACCAGGTTTTGGGGATATGAGAGTTTAATGTTTCCTTTGGTGTTTTTTATTTAAATGGACATGCCAGGCACACGTGGAAAAACTTAAGCTAATTTTCATTCTCTGTACTTGTCCTGAAACAGATGACTGCT